TACTTAATAAAGGCACATGGAAAAAAAAACTGCAAAAATCCGGCCATGTTAATGTAACACCTATTGCTACATTTTCTCGTGTAAATCTTTGACTAGAAGATGGAATTCACTTGCATTGAGCTGCTAAGAACATCCACAGTTGTCCTGCTCAGATTGTGTTGGTCTGGTCAAAGATAAAGAAGGACATTTCACAGACATGTCTGCCTTGCAGGAGATCAGTTTAAATATAAGAAACATGAAGCAGCTGGAGTATTCAGTCTTGGCCAGGCGGACAAACCAGATCAAGGATGAACTCAAAAAGGTAAGAGAATAAATTGCTGTGAAGCATGAAGTGAATTGAAAACATGCATTTTCTTTCTGTTTTTAAATTTCTTTGTGTCACAAATCACAGGGCGTAAAAAAGTCCTACAGGGAGGTGATCGATGTCTCCTGGGGTGACCCACACAGGGCAGGTGTAAAACCTCTTTCATTTGTAAGACAGGTAAGATGAGATGTTAAAAAAACAGGGTTTAAACAATCATTTATTTCTGTGAAAAAACTGTTCATTGTCCTCTCTCTCCTAGGTTCTTGCAGCGTTCTATCCTCAGCTTATGGATGGAGACAAGCTGATGGTGGATGTCAAGCAGAGAGCTCAGATGCTGCTGAGAGCATGTCCAGGGGGAAGTGTAGGTAAGAGTTACGCTTACATTCAATATGGGGTTCTCTTTGATTGAATACAAAAGGAATGAAGGAAAAAGGGGGATGGATGGATGGATGGATGGATGGATGGATGGATGGATGGATGGATGGATGGATGGATGCTTTATTAATCCCCGATAGAGGAAATTCACCTGTCTGATTGCAAAGATAAAAACATAAAATAGGATAAAAAAACACACACTTAGATAGAAAAAACAAAAAAACACAGTAATATAATAAAACATTCGGTCTTTCAAGAGGCATTAAACTGTCTATTGGTGGTCAGGACAAAAGATCTGTATCTCATTGTTCTGCTTCTCAAAGAACTAAATCGTAACACATCCAAGGTAACTATTTATTCAGTTGAGAATTGTTTTGTTTTGCTTTTAAAGAGTTTTAGTTCTGTCTCCAGGTTCATACTCTGCTACAGCAGGAGTAACAGAAATAGTCGAGAGAGTCTCTGAATATATCACCAGACGGGATGGTGGAGTTCCAAGTCACCCTGAAAACATCTACATCAGCTCCGGCTCACAGTGGGCACTAACGGTACACAGACTATCACAATTCATACAGCTGCCTCCTCCTGTTGGTTACCTGGTTAGATACATTTCTCATTAATTGGGCCCTTCAGAACATTTTAAAGGTCTTGGTGAATCCTGAGGCCTCACCCAGAACAGGAGTGCTGACTCCAGTGCCGTGCCACTCCACCACTATTTTATCCCTAATGGCACTGGGAGCTGAGGTAGTGCCTTACTATCTAAGAGAGGAACAAGGCTGGGCGCTGGATGTGGAGGAGCTACAGCGAGCTTGGGGCTCTGCTAAGGAAGTATGCAACCCTGTTGGTCTGTATGTCATCAACCCTGGAAACCCAGCAGGTAGCAACATCCAGGCAGAATACAGAACATTTATAGGATTTCATTGTATTTTAATCAGACATAACCTTTTCATCACTGCAGGCTATGTTCAGAGCAGAAAATCAATGCAAGAGGTGATCCGGTTTGCTGCAGAGAAGAGGCTTTTTCTTCTGGCCGATGAGGTCAGTGAATCCAGACTTTTACTATTTTATTCTTTTAAAATGTAAAGCCGGTTCTTCCTCCTCAGGTGTATCAGGATTGTGTTTTCGGGGAGGAAACTGAGTTTGTCTCTTATAAAAGAGCTCTGGCTGAGATGGGGTCTCCTCTGTCAGACACAGTGGAGCTGGCATCCTTCCACACAACCTCTAAAGGCCTCATGGGAGAGTGAGTATTCAATCGTGTCATCTCACATGTATTCCTTCCCACAAGGTACGTGTTTTTTAATCAAACAATGTACAGCTTAAGATAAATAACAGAGTTACAAAACATAAGTAATTAAAGTAGGGATGTCACAATACAGCGATTCACATCAATACATATTGAAATGATCAATGATTCAGTTACATCGATGCAAAATGAAAAACTGATCCACATCGTCATTAAACAGCTTTGTTTTGAAAATACCATGACTATACTACATAGGTGATCTATGATGAAAGTAATGATAACAGGTATAATTTCTTTTATAATTAAAGGATGCAATTTTGATCCAAATGGCAGTTAGATCATCAGATAATATCCCATTAATTCAATCATAGATTTGTGACTTGAATGGAACCTTTTATCTCCAAACATCCAAACCAAACGCTGTAGCATCTTACAGTGATGAAAGTGGTGATTTACACCACTAACCATCAGGTGATCATGTAGAAAAAAAAAAAAAAAACGTTCACTCTGCTGGATGCAAGCTTTAATTACAGTTTCTCACTCTACCCTTCTAAATCTCCCCCAAACGAGGAAAGTATCCGTACTTGAATCAGAACTCACTTTCCTGTTATCCGTTGTTGACCTTTCACACTTCAAAACCTGAACAATTTGAATAAAATACAGTTCTGTCAATTAGTTATAGTATTGACTTAAACATAACGGGTGGTAAATCAGTTGAATGAAAACAAGTTATATATGAACTAATGTTCAGGTAAAACATTATTTATGCCCCTGCAGAGTATTGTGAATTCTATTGAATAAAAACGGTATGGTGTAAATCAGTAATTTGCAAACCTCCAACTTTCCTGACTTGCATTTAAAGTGCCGTAGTGGAAAGTTTGCTTATCCACAGCTAGAGACACCAAGGAGTTCTGGTTCCCTCCTTCAAATATTCTGATCTTTGCAGTTTTTGTCGCATCATATCCATACCACAATTTGTACGTACTAGGTGCACACTTTAAAGATTTTTTTTTTCTGATAGCCTACTGTTACTTTCCAATAAGTTTGTTAGCCAGAAGTCCGTTATTGTCAACTTATTGGGGTTTGATTTTTGGTTATCATCTGACCCAAACGGATCAGAAATATTTAAAACTTTATGCAGTTTTATTAAATAAAACAGTACTTTACAAATTTTCTCTCCCTTAACGCACAAAAAAAGTCCCACCCAAAAATATTAACCGACACTTAATCATCAGGGTCACCGAGTATAAAATGGTTTGTCTGCAGGTATGAATGGAAGCAGGAGGGTAAAATATATTAAAGAAGTTTGTAGATTCATTCACCTCATCTAGGAGCAAGATGATTCTTTAAGGTTTGGTTAACAAAGAGGACATTTTTCATTTGTTTAAAAAAGCCAGGAGCCAAACATATTGGTGGCTGAAGTAATAGTATACCCACAAGTGTTTGCGTATTTGTTACAGGGTCGTTAAGCTTGAACCATGTTAACCATACAGAGGTGTTACCCAAAAATAGAACATTATAAAAAAAAGAAGCCACAATCTGGTTTATCGCCATTCAATTGATTTTAAGGAACCTCCTTGGTTAAAAAAAAAACAACTGAGGAAAATAAGTTATTGAATCTGAGATGCTTTAAGAAGCCTTTAATATCAGTGATGACATATCCACATTTCCTTTTGAACACACTAAAGGTTTTTTTTATCAGTTTCCTTTCTATTGGCCACTTTTAGACCTCCATCTGTTAACAGCCTTAGCTTTTCATCAATAAGGAGCTCATAAAATATTAATTCATGCTGGTAGAAATTTCTCCAAGGAGAAAAACTGAGACTGGAAATTTAAGATAAGAGATGCATAAACCACACTCCTTACCCCATATATCTGCCCACATCAAGAAGTCAATGCTTCTGTAGTTCTTATGGATACTAAAAAGAAAACCACTGCATGTATTTCAGTAGAATCGGATATTAATTTTTTTTTGTAAAGACATTTGACACTTCAGAGCCTTTCTTGGGTTTAGGTGCGGTCTACGTGCTGGGTACGTTGAGCTCGTTAACCTCGACCCCGCTGTGATGAAACACATCTACAGTCTGTTCTCTGCTAACTCCTGTGCACCAGTGTTGGGACAGTTTGCTTTGGATGTGATGACAAATCCTCCACAACCAGGAGACCCCTCATATCCCCTTTATATGAAGGTAGACCATTTTTGTTTTTAATTCACAGGAACACATTTTGGGAATGCAAAATTAAAGCTGTTGGTATATTCTTCATTGAGTAGGAGACACAGCACATCAGGACCTCAGTTGCTGAAAATGTGAGGAGGGTGGAAGAAGTCATAAACAGCTTGCCAGGTTTCAGCTGCCAACCAGTGGAAGGAGGAGCGTTTGCTTTCCCACGAGTGTTTCTTCCACCCAAAGCCATTGAGACAGCAAAGGTTTCAAAATAAAAGACAATTAAGTTTAATACAATTTATAATGTAATACGAGAATTATGTGTGGATTTATATTTGGGTCTTTTAGGAGCTTGGAATGAAACCTGACACATTTTACTGTATGAGACTGCTGGAGGATGCAGGAGTGTTATCAAGTCCTGGTAGTGAATATGGACAACAGGAGGGAACCTATCACATCAGGTGAGACAAACTATAAGTATACAGTGTTTCAGTTTTGACCAAATTATTATTATTTTTTAAATTACATCTTGAAAGAATACAAAGGATTTTCCAGTTGCTTCACACAACAAAACTACTCAAAACTTTCCTTTGTCTTTGCAGATTTTGCATAATGACCCCTTCAGAAATCATGGAAGAATTACTGAGACGTCTGAGTACTTTTCACAAAAGGTTTATGAACGAGTTTTCATAAAAATCAACAGGAAAGCTCTCTAAGTATTGCATACCATTTAAATAAAAAAAAAGGGGGAAAAAAACTCATGGCCATGTTTTTAATAAACATAGTACTTAAAATTATTTGAATGACCTCTGTCTTTACTCATTAGAGTAAAACCAATCTCTGCTTTTCAGAAAGCAATGAAACATTTAGAAAAAACAAAGTTCAAAAACCCGTTTGCTGGATTTTTCAAACATAATCTAGTGATTGAGTTAATCTATAAATAAGAAGCAGCTTCATAACTCCACTGAAGATTTCAAATCGAGAACATTCTCAACCTGTTCGGAATATCATCTTAAAGTGCTTTTAAAAACATGCTTCAATATGTGAATATGTCAAAGTTCAGATGCAGAAAATCATTTATTTAATCTACCTCACTTTCTGTGTAGGAAATCTCAACAAACGGATTCGACTCCGTGTTGTTGAGCAGCTCTACAAGTAAAGATATGAGGCGTCCGTCTTGAGAAATGATAGCGTTGCTGGGATTGTTGAAGTTTCGGTGCAGCATAGCCTGAACGGAAGTACGTAGCTCCCAGAGTAGCTCCCATGTCTCAATTGGCACTTGGCAGCGGACCAGAGAGCGGCCAGGAAAAGATACTTCCACCTTGTTGTTATTAACTGAAACGGCAGGAAAACGGGAAGAAAAAGCACCTCAAACATTTTTTATATTTATGATTGACAATCCTGGCAGCCATAAATCCATAAACTATAAATAGTCTTCTTAACATAGACTGCAACAGAAAGCTTTCATATTGTTAAAAGAAGGCAGACTTTACATCCTGAGGAAACAAAGATGCATTCAAAGTAACTTTGGAAAATATTAATGTATCAAACATTAATTTCCTTAAAACCTACATTCATGTATCAAAATACTTTCCAGAAAATGTTCTGCAGACAGCCAGCTACAAATGCTGCCATCTCTGCAAACCGAGTACCTGTCTCTGAAATGTCACAGTCTGTGAGCAGCAGCAGGGCAAGGGGGTGAACCACAGACGAGTCCCTGATGAAAACATTCCCGTTAGACTTGACCGCACTGTAAAAGGTCAGCCAACGACTGGGGAGATCCTCTTTTCCTCTGCAACAGTGGGCAAGACAGAAAGTGAACATAACACATTATCCAAGTCAGTGTCATGCTGTCAGAGAAAGGTCTGATCGTGATCGAACCTGTTCACTGAAGAGCGATGAAGCAGCACCGGACCACTGACTGTGCGGAGAGCCAGATTATTGGGGCGAAAGCGCCCCCCTTTGGTAATAACACCTTTCTTTACCTTTTAAAAAAAACAAAGCATGTAAAACAAGGTTAGGCCAACATATAATATTCATCTTGTTTAGGTAAAAACTTGTTATACTTCTGTCAAATAATGCTCATTAAGATCAGAGGTAAGACATCCTTATAATACCTTTAAGAAATATTTGCACTAGCACAATGTAAAAGTTAGGAAAACAAAATGTAAAAGTTACTTTTTGAACCACACTGACCACTCAATGTGATGTTATAAAGTTTCAAACATAAATACATAACTGAAAAGTTGTGTACCTGGATAAGGTTGGGGTACAATCCAGCCAGCAGTACCGCCTTAAGCAGCTCATCCTGGCCGCTGTGCTCATTGTAGAGCGATGTATGACGCTGGCACTCACTAGCACGAGAAACCAGCTCTGCTTCCTGCAGGTTGTCGCTGAACTGGGAGATAAGACCTACCATGGAATAAATCAAGACCAGGAACTGTGTTAGCAAAAGGACACTCCATTCAAAAATGCAGAAGAACACCAACCTCAATAGGTGTGGATTAGACAAACCATTGATAAATCGGAGAGAGCCTTTAGACAAAACATATTTCTGCAAATATTCATCTCTGTCTTCTCTGTCTCCCTCGAGTTGGACTTTTCTCCAGCCCAGAACCGCTCGGCTGAACACCAGATAGTCACTATAGCTGGAGCTGCACAGGTCATCTTTGACCTAGACAAATAAAAAATGTTTTGCAATTCAAATGTTGAACTAAGTCTTCATGTAGCATTTCTATAAATCCATAGACCTTACCTTATTTACAAGTGCTCTGTTTTGAAGGCTGTTGTGGAATGGGTCTCTGGTTAGACATGCAGCCACCGACAACATAGGCAGAACACATCTAAACAGGGCACTCAGAACCAGGACTTTGCCGAGTCGTGGGTCACATGACATACAGGCCACACGCTCTCCTAAAGGAGTCAGGGTTTCTGTCCGGTCTAGGACTCCTGACAAACCAAGATGATATATATATATATATATATATATATATATATATATGACATGCAACAAAGAGGATTCTAAATGATTGAAATGGAGGCTTCACATCAGATATGGGGTGTGTTCGATTTCAGAGGCTGCATCCTCCAAGGACCCGGGCTACTTGGACTGTTTTTGGCTATGGATTCAAACAGGTCCAGCCTTCTCCAGCTTCCACTGCTCGTTCGCTCTGTCGCCTAGACACCGTGGCAGTGGACACGCAAAGAAGGAAAAGAATGGATACCAAACTTTTCACTACTGTTGTAAAGTCGTCACAAATATATCTACAGTAGTAGCCATTAAAAATTTCCCCACTTTCCTTGATGGGCCCTTGGCTTGTTCCCTACAATTCCTTTTTAAACATCAATATTTGTATTAGAATATTCTTTCCGTCATTATTTGTGGACATTTAGATCTAAAGAGAAGCGTAATCTCATGGTCAGACCCTGTAATTCAGTGAAAGGGTGGAATCAGAGTAAAAAAATAATATCTCCAGTGGCTGGTAGTTGGAGGGAATTTCGATGGGAGTTGGAGGGAAGTGGGCAGCCATTCGGGTGGCATTTGAATGGAAAGGACCACTTTGAATGCTGCCACTGTATAGCCCCCAATTTAAGGCCCTCGGCAAAGACTGCCAGGGGCCCTCTTAATTAAGACAACACATAAAAACAGATACATTATACAGATACAGAAATTTTAATAGAATAGACATACATTTGTTCTACGGTTTTTCCCTTTCTTCTTGACCCTTGTCTCTGCATGTTTTGTACTCAGCTGACTTTTCATTCCGTCTCAAAAGGAATAAAAGTTTTTTTCCAAGCACTGAGCTCACTTAGCTAATTGCTCCTTCCCGTGTTTCCAAAAAGGCGACAGCCAAATTAAATAACAGTCCTTTTCACTGTAGACTTGATCTGCTTATCTGTTCTCCATTTTTCATTTGTATGAAATAATAGCTACATGAATCATATCACCAAAGTCTCCAGTAGCAGAAAACAGTTGCTAGATTTGGCACTAGGCGCTTTTAAAAAAAATTCAAGTGCTAGAGGGTTCTGAAAAGTCGCTCAATATAGCAACAAAAGCGCCAAGTTGGCAACACTGCTCTTTGAACCGTTTGTTTTCAAATAGTTTGCTGCTGTCTGAATTTTCTGAACATGTGCAGCAAATGGACAGATACAATGTGGTTGACACTGAAAGGGGGGGTGGGGGCACTTTAGCGAGGCTGCATTTATAACAAGGAGTCTTACAACCCGAACAGGCCTCGGCTCCGCGATATGACTTTGACCGAATAATTTGGCCTTCGGAGGAAGCAGCCACTGAATTTGAACTTAACAATTGACGTGGATCCAAGGTCCCTTACCGATATCCTGGAGGTTCTTGACTGCATCTTTCACAGCTTGTGGCTCTGGACTGTCCAAGACTTGAGATAGGAAGTCTACAGCCTGTTTAAACACATTTATATTTTAAATCACATAAAACCATAAAAAAAAATAAAAAAAAGTATGCAGAAAAATAAATAAATAAAAGTACCTTGCAGTTTGGACTGTGGATTTTAGCCTGCAATACTAAACTTTCCAGAGGTGTACGCAGGATTTCAGGAACAGGAAAGAGTGTCATGCTTTCCAGCTGTTTCCTTGGGAACAGGTGATACGACTGCCCCGGTTGGCAACGTCCTGCCCTTCCTTTTCTTTGAGTTACATTAGAATGAGATATCCACACTGTGTCCAGACAGGAAACCTGGGAAATAAGAATAATTAAAAGCAGAAAACCAACATGGATTTGTTCTACAGAGAAAAATAAGTTTGCCATCTCTCAGATTCTAACATGAAAGAGTTAAAATCAAAAACCTTTGTCCGCTGGTCATAATTCTGCTCCTTGTGAGTTCCTGTATCCACCACATGAACTATATCATCTATTGTAATGGAGGTTTCAGCTATGTTAGTGGTAAGCACGATCTTCCTTTGACCAGCTTTGGGCTTCTGGAAAACTAGTTGCTGGTCAGCTACTGATAAGCTTGAGTGCACTAGAAATAGACCAGAGAGGAAATGAGAAAAATGTCATAAAGTTGAAGGTAAAACAAATAATGTCTAAAAACTATTTATTCTTACATGGCACAATCATGTGATTGCCTGATAAAAAACGTGTTTTTTCCTCCAGTTTTTGTTGAACTCCTTTGATGTCCTGCCAACCAGGTAGGAAACACAACACCGCACCTGCAGCATTAATAGAAACAATATTAGAAATATAACTAGATAAAGCAAGAATTATTACATTAGGGAACATTAGTTACCTGGCTCTCCATGTCTGTCGATGTGCTCAATGACGTCAGCTACTAAGTCAAGATCTGGGGAGGCCTCTTCCAACCCCTCCTCAAAGAAGAAGCCAAACATAATAAAGAAACAAGAAATTAAATGGAAGAAAAAAGCGAAAACACTGCGAGTAGGGTACGTATAAACCAACAAGACTGATATTGTATAGCGCTCAGGTTTATTTCTACACATTAATCTGGGACTGCTCCCACAAAGTAGATTTTAGTGTTAGCTAACGCAAAAAATAAAGCAAGAATTGAGTTAATTCTTGTTAATGCACTTATGCAAAAAAAAAAAAAAATAGAATAGTTAATATTTAGTTAAAAGGCTAATAGATCTAAAAAGTTTGAAGTTTCACCTCATTTGCATTCACCCGTCTCTGGATTTGAGCAGAGCGTCCCATCTCCCTCATCACATCCTCAAGGTATCTGTCCTTCACTGGGTGCATGAATCCTGGCACCTTTATGACAGGGCAGCCTCCAAAGTACTCTGCCAGCCTCTGGTTGTCCCCGGTGGCGCTCATAAGCACAACCCGGAGGTCAGGGTTCTCGTTTAAGCTGGAGCGCAGCAATGCCAGCAACAGGTCCGTGTTCACATCCCTCTCGTGGACCTCGTCCACAACAACATGACTGATTCCTTTCAGGGTGGGGTTTGACTGCAGCTTCTTCAGCAGCACACCCACTGTGAGGAAGAGCATGGACCCTCTGCTGTTTTCAGGAGGTCGGCTCTCAAGTCTCACCTATGAAAGGAGCAGTTCTTGCATTAACATTATAACATTTCATTCTGATTTTTTTTTCTACACTGAATTGAATTTTCATCTGTCAACTTTACTTGTATTTTATCAACTCAAAAACAAGTTTTTTTATATATATATTTAGCATAAAAAAGCACAATTATGAAGGATAAGCATGAAGAGAAAACGTAGTTTTCAAATTTCTAATTTAAAAAGGAAAAAAAAAAAATAAAATTATATAATATATATATATATATATATATATATATATATATATATACACACACACTTAATATGATGAATATTTTTTCCTCTGAATGGCTTAAAGTTGTAACAGTACCTGATATCCAATGTGGTGTTTAAGATGTGGACCCATCTCATGAGCGACTCGATGAGCTACCGACACGGCACTGATCCGACGAGGCTGAGTCACCAGGACGTTGCACTCTGCTCCCTCCCCCCTTCTCACTTGTTCTTCCAGCAGAAAGCGTGGGATCCGGGTGGTCTTACCACACCCAGTCTCGCCGGCGATCACAACCACCCTGGAGGAACGCACGGCCGAGACCACGCGCTGCTGGTGGGCGTCCACAGGCAGCTCCACACTAAGTCCAGGGTTTGCCTTTTCCCATTCCTCCTGCAGGTGGCAGCTGAGCCACCGAGCCTGATGCTGTGACAGGGGCTTGTAAGGCTTGCCAGTGATGGCGTCCGCTATGAAGACCTCTTCTCCTTCCTCCTCATTCATTGTCTGTTGTCCTCTCGACTCCTCTTCCTCCCATAGCTTCTGTATTTCTGTGGCAACCGGGTACTGTGAGGAAATATTAATGATAAATAACCAAATCAAAAAGTTTAATCTCTCACATATAGGGAAGTTTAATGTTTTATTTTGATAAGATGGGGGCATGAAAACCTTCAAATAGCAAAAATCCTCTCACACGATTAGCATAAAAAAAAAAGACATAAAACCAAACAAGCAGGCATATGGAAAGAAGACTGACCTGTGTTAGATAATCCCTGATGTGTTGCTCCAGATATTGTGGAATCTCCAGAAGGAATGGACGCCTCTCTCTCTCTCCAGCCTCCTTTACTTTGTCTCGGTGGTACTTTGCATGAGTGAGGGGGTTATTGTCTTTATCCAAAAGCTCAAGCTCCTGCACCAAAAATCATAAATATTTTAACACAGTTCTGACTTGCAGGTATACACTTTAGTTTCACAATTTCTCCTCATAACCTTCAGCTTCATGCAGGCAAGCGCTGCAGCTCCCCTCTCTGCCATGACTCGGCTGCTCGCCGTCGCTCTGAACGTCATCTCCTCCGGCCAAAGCAGAGTCAGCTCACATTTTTTAAGTTTCCCTCCTGCTGTTCTGAAATGCATTAACTCCTGCAGATACAATTAATCCAGGTATTGATATAAAATAAGCGATAAGCTGTCAACATAAAAAAATAAAGAAATCTACATACTCTGATTCTGTTGGCTGAAGTGGCCACCTGGATCACCCTGGTCAGAAGAGATTTAGGTTGTGGAAAGAGAGAAAGGGCTTCAGACACAACAGAAGCATCCTCCATAGGAGAGGAAAATTCCTCTCCTCTGGGGACGGAAACATTAGTTGTCCGGTGGTTCTCTTCATTGTCATAGAGATGGGAATGTAGTCCTCCTCTCACCCGACCTGCTCTCCTTTTAGGGAGCTGATTGTTCGGACCGATCACACCCAATTCCTTAGGACAAAAAATTAAAACCCAAACCTCAATTTCAAACTGGCATAAAAAAAAAAAAATAACCCAAAACATCTCAATGTCCTTCACAATGATGTATAAATACTTGAGCAAAGCAGTGATTCTGTAGCACAGCTTACTCTGAGTCTGAGACAGGCTGCAGCAGCAGCAAACCGCTCTGCATCAATCTTCCTGGATGCATAACCCTCTGCTGTAATCTTGCTGGGCCACTGAATTGTTACAGTTGCTTTCTGTAGGAACCCAATTACAAAATAAAATCATTTCAATCAACAAACATATACATTAAGAGGCACAGATGGATGCAGTGTATGTTCTGGAGGGATAAGCTGACCTTGAGACCATCATGTTCTGTACAGCTGTACTGGATGAGCTGAGAAAGGTCATTCACTCCTAACGACCGGGATATAGTGTTGTTTAGGAGGCTTTTGGGGTCTGGAAACTCTTTCTGAAGGTTTAGATTACCTTTAGCTAATAATTAAAACCAATTTGAAGACACGGTGAAAAGTTGGCAACTCTACACAAATAAACACACTTTCAAACAAATTATCCGCAACATTTAAACAAGTTTTTTTTTGTTTTTTTTTAACCACGTTTTTAAAGTTGAGTGTCCTTGAGGTTCTGCAATACTGCAGCTGTCAACTGTTAGCTAACAGGAGCTGGCCAGCATTTTAACTCACCTCGTTTACTGTGGAAACAGGGAGCGCTGTGCTCGAGAAACCTCTGTGCCTTTGTTCCATACCATCGCATTTCTCCTCCACAGTTAAAGGCTGTTTTTCTCCCAGCATGAACAAACTGGGACAGTTTGCAAAGCCCGTTCAGTCTCACGAGTAAAACACCGGGTAGCGCCATCTTTAAAACACTTCTTCTTCTGTTTCTGCGGGTGACGCAAGACGAAAGACTGTGTCGAGCGCCCTCGTCTGGCTGAAAAACACATTGTTTCCGGCAAACGAGGGAAACGTGTTTATGTTTGTCTGCATCAGTTTTTTAAACTAATTTGTGAGCCTTCATAATCTGTGAACTTTCATTTTTGATAAAGTGCCTCATAAATACTTGGAAATAATTAATCAAAAATTTTTTTCCCCACTGACAAACTCATAGTGTGATGTCTAAAAAATCATCACCCAGATTGCAAAAACAAACAAGACAGCAAAAAGCAACAACAAACCCCACCTACCTTCTCAAGTGATGAGGTTTGTTTACATAGATAATTTTACAGATAGTATTCTCAGGCATAATACTGCCATCTATTGTTCAGTACCGTCTCAGTTCATCTCTCTCAACTTGCCGTAGTTACTTTCGAGCGTAATGGGCGATCTCGCAATCGCTAGTTTGTTGGCTCTGCGCTGCCATAGCGCAAAGATGTCTGCCTCCATGGCTGCGAGACCCGCTCCTATGTAATTATAAATAACGAATTCTAAGGCAACACAAATATTAAGGTTAAGTGGCTCAGCTCATAGATGATAAATAACATAGTTATGTATAATATATTACATTCCTGACTGTATATCCCTGTAATTATTACACACTGTAGCTTTAATAGAGTTCAATTTCAAGTATTTCATTATAAGTTCAACTTCAGTTTCATTTTCAAATTACATTAATTTTCTAATGCCTTTAAATCTCGTTCTATATATTTTTTATTTGTGTACATTTTATGCCATTATGAGTCTTTAACATAGCACATCATGAATACAAAAAATACATTATCTTTGATAGTGTTTTAGCAGTTGTTTGTTCTTTAATTGTTTTGTATCTTATGTTGTCTTGTGTGTCTTGAAAAATTCCTGCACTCCTGCACAATCAGTAAACATGAAATCATCTGCTTATTTTAACTATTTTTAGCTTTTAATAATATAGAATTGTTGCCTGTTTTGCATCTGTATACATAAACGGCTTGTTCGACTACTGAAGAGGACCTAGAAATTGTTGCAAATAAAAAAAAAGCATTAAATATATCAATTTGTGTTCCTGAAGGGTAGCTTTAACATTAAATGTAGTGGATTGTTTTATATATTTTAATACAGGACCTGGCAAACGTTGGAAATATCAGCCACTATAGTCACACTGTGGCAACTGTAAGGTTAAAGAAAACCCCAAAACTGGTGATATTTACTATGAAAAAACTATGTATGTTGAGCTGCATATAGTGTTTACAATTTGCCAGCAACGTCACCTGCAGAATGCTGGGAAAATTCCCAGGTTTTATTTGCTTTTGTCTGGACTCATTCCCATAAATAGTGCCGCTTGATAAGTCACATTTCTTTCCTAAGAAAAAAGAAAAAGATGATTAAGGGACTTGTTTTCTTGCTGGTTGTCACATCTGGTAAGTTTAAAGTTAAGATGTAACAATTCTGTTTCCAAAAACCTGCAAAATAAGAAAAAAACTGGCACTTAGCCTTGAATCAAACAAAATGTGATTTAATCTCCTCTTGGCTACAGTTTTACACTTCTTTGCTTCATTTTTTTCTCTTGCTTTGTATAAGTATCTGGCTGTGGTGTGCCCGGTTTCCAGTCCAGTAGCAGTCGAGTGGTAAATGGAGAAGAGGCTCATCCCTACAGCTGGCCATGGCAGGTTAGTAATTGCAAATAAAATAAAAAAAAGTGGCATACTCAAAACCTATGTACAAAGGCATATTGCTACTTTATTTAATCAATTAAAGATAATTTTAGTTCCCAATTAGAGAACCATACTCTGTTCAGGCATTTTTAAGGTTTTATTAGAGTTATAGTGGTTTCATGGAAAGTCAAAATGTTCTTTTGCACCTCTGAAATATAACTAGGAGCAGCAAAATCTCAATAAAAAACATTTGTAACACATTTAGATTATTTATTTATTTATTTTTTTAACCCATTAGGTTTCATTGGAGTCTTTTTACCCCACCTGTGGAGGAACCCTTGTTGCTCCAGACTGGGTCTTGACAGCTGCACACTGTATAACGTGAGTTTATTGTAGCATTTGCAATAACTTGTTGGCCACTAAAAAAATGCTGTCTAATTCTGAAAGAAATACTGAAAATGTCATAGCTTTAATAATAATCTATATTAATAACTGTCTAAAAATCTGCGGCAAAATAATAATTATTTTTAAGTAGATCCCGAAAAAAATCCGTTGGTATTTCTCTATTTATATTTTTTAAGGAATAAACTAGGTTTTGCTTTCCATCCAGATTCCACACGTACAGGGTGGTTCTTGCAGAACATGATATGGACAAAGAAGAGGGACCTGAACAGTCCATCATGGTGGCAAAAATGTTCATCCATCCCAAATGGAACGATAACTGTGTCTCCTGTGGGTATGTTAAAATGCATTTGGGAGGGACACTTATTATTTTATCCAAGAACCTTAATGAAGTGATTGAAAAAAAATATATGTTTTTCAGTTGTTTATCAATATTGCGCAGGGATCATCACAGAGCATGTACAGCAGTCTGGCAGGGACACTCAAATAATTTCGAAGCATAGTGAATGTTGAGATTATTAACTGAACTGAAAAATATTCGCTGAAAACTGTTGCTCCTTATATTACCGCCTGTATCTTTAGAAACTACAATAGAAAGACAACTATTCACAGCTGATATCCAATATTTTGTATATCAGTATATATATATTTGGATATATATTATATATATTGGATATATATATTCCCTATTCAACATTAAAAATCACTAAACCACTCTTATTTTAAGACATGTGGTATAACACAAATATATCTAGTGTTTTGCTAAATGCTTGGCAAATAACCAGTATCTGTGTTCAAACATTCTTCAAATTCAGGAGTTTTTATATAAATCTTTAGTGACTTTGGTCTAACCACACAAGCTTTTCAATATTTTGGTTGAATGTTGGCCAGTTCCACTGGACAGAGCTGTGTTATGTCAAAATACAAACTTTGGCCATTTTGTTGTATGGTTAAGGAACTTTCCATATGGGACACTGGTTTGTGTCCAAGTTTTTTAAGGTTCTGATGTCTCAAGGTGTTGCTTCAATATTTCTGCACAATATTATTTCCTCACACTAACAGCACCAGCTGTTTCTGCACCATGCAATATTATGTTGCCACTCACACACAAGATGTGAAGGTATCCTCAATAGGGCTGCAAATAACGATTATTTTGCAAATCGTTAAACCTGTTGATTATTCCTTTGATTAATCGATTAACTTTTCATGAAATCAAACCAGGTGAAACTAAGACTTTTCCACTTGAGGAGGCTGCATAGAGAATATTGTTGGACAAACAAGATTTTTTTTTTTATCTTAAATGCAAAATGTTTATATATATATATTTTTTAACAATTTTGGTATAATTGCTGCTTAGTCAGCTAAAGGCATGTTTTAGAGTCTCTATTCTCCAGTTAATGATTGTTATTGCTCCCCTCCGTAGGAATGATATTGCTCTGCTCAAACTGGAGAAGAAGGCTGATCTCAATGACAAGGTTCAGCCAGCCTGCCTGCCAGAGCACGGCTCCCTCCTGACCCACAACCAGCCTTGCTATATTACAGGCTGGGGTCGTCTTTACTGTGAGATCCATCGTTAACAAGAATTGAAAACATGAAACGGTTCTGATAAGGTATTTGTTGAACACCTTTTTCTCAATGTCCTTTTCTTTAAAGCTGGAGGTCCCCGGGCGACCAGGCTGCAGCAGGCGCTGCTTCCTGTGGTGGATCACAGCGTCTGCAGCCAAAGCGACTGGTGGGGTAGCTCTGCTAAGACTACAATGGTCTGTGCAGGAGGAGAAAGCAAATCTGCATGCCATGTGAGAAACATTCGGAGAACTTAGTTTTTTTTTGACACACAGACTACTTAGAGCTTTAATAATGTCAGCTTGAAACTTGCAGGGGGACTCTGGGGGTCCTCTAAACTGTAAAGGTCACAACAACAGATGGTATGTTTGAAGGAGTGACAAGCTTTGTTGATGGTCGTGGATGTAACACCCCAAAAAAGCCCACTGTCTTTACCAGGGTTGCCTCTTTCATCCCCTGGATCAGCGAGGTGAGGGAATCAATTCCTAAACTAAATTCCACTCTATAATCTCATGTTATGAAAAAATATTTTTTCCCCTGAGTAATGTTTTGACTTTCGTTTTTTATCACACTTACGTTTCAAATTGTTCAATATTAAAATCAAAATAAAGTAAAACATACAGCGTTTTCAAGACAAATTAAGGGAAAAAGCTATAAAACCCAGACAAATCAAATTAAATGTCCCTAAAAACCTAATAACTGTCTGATAAACCTTTATGGCAATGTCTGCCATCTGCTGCTTGAGATAAATGGGGAAGGAATCCTTTCACATCGCTGGAAGGGAACTTTGATTTAATCTTGCTTTTAATTAGTTTTAATTCGGCCAAATCACATGAATGGTATGTGTATGAATGGTCTCTGGGTTACATTTAAGTGTGACAGAAATTTTTTATAGATAATGTGTGTAATTATGTTGTATTTTCTTACAGATTATGGCCCAAAACTAAGGAAACTCAAGAATTGTGCAACACAAAGCAATAAACAGATCGACCAACTTCTGAATATTATTTAATTGTATTTGTGATTGAAAATCTATACAATATAACTCTATCCAATAAAATACAGTATTCACATTTTTATTCTGAGAAATTATAAAAAAACTCAAAGGCCAAACTTTAAAATGTATTTAGAATGCTTTGTGGAAAAAAAATAAATTAAAAAAACCTGTGATTTAGTTTGCTTGTATTCTGAATGTTTATCCTTTTGTAAATAAGCAGGTTTGAGAAAAAATGTTTACAGCTGCTGGGAACATTTACAAACAGCTGCTAATAAGCTCTTTGAGTACAAGACTGTTTTAATTCAGTAGATTTGTTTTTTAGCTGCAGAGTAAATAATCAGTCAAGGTTCTGAAGGTGTCCAGGTGAAAAAGTTAACTCCCCGCAGCTCCTCAGGCAGATACTCCTGTTCCACAGGGCCGCTAAATGCTGGGT